CACACCCATCATAATTAAATGACTCTCATGTTTTCCACAGGAATCATTTGGTCATAAAGGACTATGATACAATACAGGTCATTTATTCTTACTGCTGAGACTGTGCTTTGGCCTCAAATACTTATTATCTTTTAGTTTGATGAGGATCTATTGCTGCATTGTTCTTGTTTCCATAGAAAATGTTTAACTCAGTGCTTTCCCTCTTTGAGAAAAGAATGCCAAATAAACAGTTGAGAAGGGTTTTTATTTTCTTCTTTTCTACTCCACTGGGTGGAGAAAATACATTTACTGTGCCTGATACAAGAAGAAACTGCATTAAAATAAATCAGCTTTCCAAAAACTTACTTATTACATTAATTTATCTAATGTTTTAAGCATTACGTTGCCATTGCGTTAAGTGATAATAAAAGGAAAAATATATACAAACCTCTTTGTTTGCAATTTGGTTTGCAAACACAAGCATTTGGCAAAAATTTGTTTGTGTTTGCGAACTCTGCACCAGGTGACAAACAGGACCACAGCTATCTTTCCCTCACAAAAACACCTTTTGGCCATCTTTTCCCAAATTGTGAATCGAGCTTAAATTTGTGAATCGAGGCACCACTCGATAGTATCATCACAGACTATATAGGATGTGAGCAAAGAATGGTGCTTGCACAAGAGAAGGGCACTCAACCTGATGACAATTAGACATCTTTGAACTCCTAGGGAATTCTGAACAAACTAACACACACACACACACACACACACACACACACACACACACACAGTTTTATAAACTCCAAACCTGAAGAGAAAAATCTCTTTGGTCTGGAACCAAAGATTTCAAAATGTAGGGATTGTTTTCCTTGACTGAAGACCTTGAGAAACCACTCTATGAGCAGTATCTTTGAGATGCTACTTCTGCTGTCATCCTCCTCTCCTCACCCAGGCCATGCAAGTACACAAGGAGCTGGACTCTAGAGTTTAATCTTCACTCTAGACACTAGATACACATGTTCACAAAGAAAGAACTAGAACTAGCTCAGTTGTAAAGCTGAGATTTCAGAAGGGTAATATTGGCCGTGAAAGGGGGAAATAAGAACAATCACCAAAACCCTTGCCATCGGCTCAAGAAAGTGGCAGAGAAACCCACAAGAAATTGCTTTGGGTTAGGGGCAAGATAAGAAGAAACTCTGATGTTTAGATCCAATAAAAATTACAACTAACACTTGGAAAAGAGAAGAATGTCTAAGCATGTGACTCATAGAAGAGAATTAGTGTTAAAGATTAGTATGTAAGATTACAGCATGTCCATAAATAGATGACAAAATAGTAAACTTCCTAATAGAAAGAGGACATAATAATACAACACCATGAAAAGAGTATGCTTAGGAAAATTAAAGGAATAAGGGAATAAATGTAAAGCGTAATGAAAAAGCATAGCGGCTTGAAAAGAAAAGATTATATGAAGCAGTAACCTTTCAGAAATTAGAATTGCAGTGATTGAAATTAACACTTTAAGCAACTATAACTCAGGCCATAATCAACATTAGAAAATTAAGTCCAATTATGCTTTTGATTACTGCTGCTTTTATGCTTGTTTGGTTTCTTCTTCAATGGTACCTATAATTATTAGTTTACATCACTTTGAAATTATTCCTTATCATACCTTGGTCTTTTATCTGTTTCAGCCTACTATCTTATCATCCTGTTTTCCTTTCATCTTTCCTAACTTACATGGATCAATTTTCCCTCCCATGTTGTGGAAATTATACTTACTGGACACTACTAAAGTTACAAAATAGACTTCTATAACAATATCCAGGAAACTGTAATTTTAGTTATTAAAATTACTAACAAATATCAAGATGAAGGCCTCTTTCAATAGTACTACAATTTTTTGTCCTTCTTTTAAAATCTGGATTTCAAAATTTCTACAGGGTTTTGGGAGACTTTTTAGCATTGGCTGAATGTCCACCCAATATTTGCACATTGGTAGATATTTGAATCTTTTCCTCTGATGTGGAGATCAGATGTGCAAGTTCGGTGTCTAGCCAATCTTACTTAGCACAATTTCTGTGCACTAAGGAGTGACATTCTCATACTAACTGGATTTCCAAGACTTTGAATGGAAAGAATGAAAATGTGTCACTCCAGCATGTATTTCTCTCAGAACTTTTATTGTCTCAGCCTGTATCTCTATATTGGTGGAAATTTCATTCCTGATAATCTAATACATAGCCTTTAATTTTCTCTACATCCTGCCATTTTTTTTCTTTCTTTTTTAAAATTTTTATTACTGCATGTTTGCAATACATAAAAGCTATGCTCATCACGGGGAGTTAGTACAGGTACATAAACCATCTCAATTCCTTTTGTAACTTCTTCTCTTCTTCCCCTCACTCCCTGTCACCTTCTCCCTTGCTAAAGTTCCATCTCCTTGTTTTCCACTACCTTTTATTTTGCTCTTGGATTTATTTGTATCTCGGGTTTCTTATGTTTTTTTTGTTGTTGTTGTTGTTTTCTTTGGTTTTTCTCTGGTACCAGGAACCGAACTCACGACCTTGTGCTTGCCAGGCAGGCGCTTTGCCGCTGAGCTAAATCCCCAGCCCCTCGGGTTTCTTATGTAAGAGAAACTGCTATATTTGAGCTCATGTGCCCGATTTATTTCACTGAATATTATGGTCTTGAAGTGAGTCCATATTCCTCCAAATGACTTAATGACTTTATGTTCTTGTTGTGTATCTTATATCTGGGTGTCCCTGCAAAATGTCATGCATTCAGAGTTGGGGCTTCGGCAATTGATTAAAGGGGCACTACTGTCGACTTGGTCTTAGGAGATGGGGTCTGGCTGGGAGAGGCAGGTCAGTGAGGGGCTGACTTGAAAGGTTTCCTCTCCCTTCTTGGATCCCCCCTTCCTCTCCCTGTGTTTACCAGTCCCAAAGCCATGAGCAGCTCTCCTCCTCTCAGGCTCTTCCACCATGGCTTCCTGCCTTGGAGCTGGCCATCTATGGACTAAAACTTTGAACCAAAATAAACTGCTCCTCTTTTAAATTGCTGTTATCAGGTATTGTATCTCAGTGATGAAGAAAGTGACTAAGACACTTTGGTGTACATAAATCATGTGACCAAACAATAGGAAAAACAGCTTTTCTTCCTGTCATTTGTCAGCCCAATGGAGCCATTTTGTTTTATAATATAAAGTACATGCTAGTCACAAATTGTTTTTATTAATTCTTGGCCATTCATCCTATACACAATAGAAATACTTACTAAATTCTGGCAATAGGTTACCAGTGCCATTTTTAGAGTGACTTTCTTATCTTTTTGAAAAAAAAAATCTATAGATATGGGTATTTATTTTGGGAAATAGTAAGTCTTAATCTATTAGACTACTCCATTTTAATTCAGAAGCTCCAGAATATATCTGGCTATTAGTGATGTACAGAAACATGGGTTGACTAAATTGCCACTTTAAATATACATAAATATAGATATATAAACATAGATATGTAGATATAGCATGTAAATATGATTTGGGAAGCAAAAGGATATCTACCTTTATAATGTCAGTATTTCTGTTCACTCTCACTTATCTCATACTAGAGAAGGCTTTATTTTTTCTTCTATCCACAACTCAATGTTCTACCCTTTTCAGTTTCCTAAACTGCAAACATCATAGGAAAGAACAAAATCCTGTTCTCAAAGTCTGGCCTTGCAGCCTCAAACCAAGGAGATGTTGGCTACAGAGAAGTCACGGTTAAAAATTGAAGTAGATGAGTCTAGGTCAAGATCGCACAGTTAGTAAGCTAAGGGGCTCATACAAGTTCTTAATGTCATTCAGTTTGCTTCTTCACTGATAAACTGAAATTAGATGAAATAATTTACATAATCTGGCATTTGGTAGCTTTGAATTAATATGTTAGTTAGAAACAATAGTTTCTCCACTTTCTGATTTTTTCAAAGAAAAAAATCCCCTGCTAATGAATAGAAAATTCCTTAGAACTAATGAATGAAAGAATAAAACTAATGAACAGAAAATTCCTTAGAATTAATGAATGAATGGACAGAACTAATGAATAGAAAATTCACCTTTTCAATTAGAAAACTAATATATAGTAAATGAAAGGATAGGAATTAAGATTAGTATTATTCAATATATTCTTTGTTTTTAGCATTTCTTTTCTGATTTCATGTTCTGGCTTATAATACATTTATTTGACTTATTGGTGGATATTGTGTTTTATCCTAAATATTGGGAAAAGCAATCCACCCATAGGGTAAATATTGTTCCTAAGCTATTTTTTAAAAGTTCAAGTTAGTCCTTCACTTATATTAACCGAACACTTTTAAATATAGAAAGTGAAACCCAAAAACCCTTGTTTTGTTAGTATATGTCTTCACTGCATAGTAATTACATTTATCTTCAGGAGCTGTACACATCCGTATTGCATCTTGGTTATTTTTGCTTCCCCTTCCTTCCCCTGCCCTCTCCTTTCCCTTTTTCTCCAGATCCCCTTCCCATTTCTACAAAGTCTGCCTTGCTGCTTTCCACCATTGTTCTTTTATTTTGCTCTTCAAATTATTTATGTTTTGGATTTCTCATCTGAGAGAAATAATATATTCATTATCCCTCTATGTCTGATTTATTTCCCTTAGTATTCTGATCTCAAGCACTACAGTCTGTTAGCATTAAGGTCCATCCATTTTCCTACAAATAACTCTAATGTAACCTGCTTTATGGCTGAGATTATAGCACATGCTTTTAATTTACCATAAGTTCTTGAAAGGAAAAATTAATTTTACCTCTTTTATATTAACCTTACTGTGTAGCACACATTTGTGTCCATTGGGCCTAAAATGATTTCCTTTGTGGATCAATAATCTAATTAATTTTAAAATATTTTGTAATGCTTAAAAACTAATATCTGAATGCAAAACATTTTATTACAGTTTGTAAGCACTTAAATTTCTTTGTTTACAATTAATTCACTTAGCAGCAGTAGACACACACTTACCGATTGAAACATAAAGGTGTGGTCCTGTTTGTTGTGGCATTACCTGTTCTTTGATGATCTATCTCAGACCCAAGATTCTTTTTATCAGGTTGTGAAGCACAAGGTAAGAATACTGTGACTGGCTTCTGAAAAAGGTGAGTTGATGGGTGCTGAACATGAATCAGAGGGCTTGTGGACAGAACTGAGTAGGAAGCATCTTGCTGTGTTTTTAAATGTGCCACCAAAGATGGGTCCACTGGTTGGACCTAAACAAAGAAATCATAGCTATATACATACATATATGTGTGTGTGTGTATATACATGTACACTCAATGGCAAAATATACAAATATCAGCATATTCCTAAGCTAATCTTCTGAAAAATTTTCAGAACATAGTCATATGTTTCTCTGTACATTGCTGGCTAGAAACATGACTTTATATGAGATGCTATCAAAAAATATAGTGCTATCAAAAATATATTTTAATAATGGACATATTACAGTATGCTATTGATTCCCCTAAAAATATTCCCACTTTCAACACAACTATCCCATTTCTATAGTATTTGTCACTTTTGGAAGCAGTTCTGGAAATCTTATAGCATAAATGTCCTGTGTTGCACTGTCATGGCTGCCTAACTCTCTTGAATCAATTTAACAATTTTACCTTTGGTGATCATTTTGAAGTCACATGGTACCAGATCTAATGATTAAGGTGGATGAAGGCATACCTTATTTTTCTTTTTTTTTGGCCTGATTTTCTGTTAGGTGGTACCTGACAGCATCATTTACTATATTTTTTATTTTCTTATAAAAAGAAGACTTCCAGAACTGTTTCAAAAAGTAGCAAGAATGATTGGTAAAGTGTGTTCAGAGCAAAGGTGAATATTTTGAGAAATACCAATGGCAGTGTGTCTTTGACTGTAATAACTGTTTTTTAAAATGTACATCATATTTTTGATCAACCCTTTTATGCAACAATACCATTTAAATCCCTTTTTACAGAATCTTTCTGCAACCCCAGTTCCTTTTCCCATATTATAAAGAACTGAAAAACACTCTCAATATTAGGCAACAAAATAACCTAGGAAACAGAAGAGACATTTTATAGCATTTCTAATTAGTACTATTTTTAGGTCAAGTAATCTTTAAACATTAGAAAAACAAGACTATATTTACTTAAGTATTTCCTCTCACATAGAAATAGTTAATATTTAAAAATAGCTGGCAAAATTTCAAAGTTTATGAAAAACATTTATTAATAAAATATTTACAGTATTTTTTTTCTGGTCTTTCTGTTTCAGTCATCCTTATGACTATATCTGACAGAAACAGAAAGCAGAGAGAACAGTTGAAACCAGAAAGACTGGGAATATTATTTGAGGAAATAAAACACACATTGATATACCATTACATACCTCATAAATAGTTTGTGTATACTAAATATTTATTTCAAAATAGCTAAATACATCATAAATGGAACTACACATCCATAGTACTAAACAGTTTGATTGCCCCAGCTATCCTGTGTATATACATAGATATTTTTCCTTTCCTTCTTTTGTTCTTTTCTCCTTTCCCTCATCCCAGTTGCTCCTTCCCTTTGAGCAGTTTCTTTCCCTTTCACAGTATCTGTTGTACCTTTCAAATTTTATTTACTCTTTCAGGTTCTTACACTAGGGAGACAACACAATGTTTACACCTACAGGTCTGATTTATTTCACTTATGAGTATGGTCTCCAGTTGCATCCATTTACCTGTAAAAGCCTCGAGTGTATCTTTTTCATATCTGAGTAATACTGGTCTATTGAAAGGAACAGTTAATGCTTACATTTTTTTCTTCTTCTTTTTAATTTTTTTGACCAATTTTGTATGCTTATATCTGATAATCTGAACAACTAATGTGAAGACAACAATATGCAATATAACAACCATTGTTGAATTCCTATCATCTTTTTAGTGGAATTCTGTATCTTTGCTAATGTTTTTTATTATTTGTTATTCTCTTGAAAAAATAAACATTTTCATTGATTACCTTTTTGGTGCCAGCCTCATAGATGAAATATGAGCTACGTGAATGACCCAAAGTCTGTAATCAGTCATTTCATACTTACTCAACATATGCATTTGTAGATAAGTATCATAAAACAACATCAATGACTAGCTGGGAGAATCTTTCAAATAAAGCAGGGATTTATTTTGAAATGAGATTCAGTGTACTCAAGATCATCACCCACCATTTATATCAGTATATGTGCATCTTTTACAAGTATAAGGAGAATCCATGAGTGGTGACTTAAATCTAAGAGAAGCCAATCAATGCTTAAGATTTACCTTTAATTGTACCAGCACTGAGGAGCTGAAAGCGCCTGGAGGGTAACATAAGGATATTCGGGAATCCATGCTGGACTTCAGGGTGAGGCCTTTCTTTGCTACTGTGAAAGACTCTTTCTTTAAACAAGACACAACGGAAAATACACCCAGTTTGTAAACATTCACTGTAGCGCAGGTCCCCTGTGTGGATTAAAGGGCAGTAAAGCAAGTTATAGCAATACTTCTGGAAGTACATGCTGTACATGCTTCTAAACTATCAAAACATCCACAGGCTGTCAGTATAATCACCCACAATTTTGAATGGGCCCATTAGCTGAAAATACATGATCCTTCCATGAAATATAGAAGTAAATTATTAAGAGCTTCTCAAACTTGGAGCATATGAAAGGAAAAAAAAAAGAAATAAACCTCTTTTTAAATTTAAATTAAATTCCCCAAATGTACATGTATAGTGGGAAACTATATTCAATGTTTTCACAAATATTAATTACTTTGGAGTTCTAGCCTACTTTAACTGAAATGGGTTTTAATATAGATCATTATGCAGAACATTCAACAGTATTCTAGAGAATTCATTATTTGGATAGTTTACCCAAATGCCATAGCACCTGTACTGTCAGAAAATTCTTCCTTCTAACAGCTCATAATCTTTTAGGATGCCAAAATAAAGTCTATTTCTCTCTCTGCAGTGGGAGCAGATGACTGCAGAGAGATGCGTTCGTGTTTCTTTTTATACAGTGATATTCAAATGTAATCATATATGCAGGCACATATTCAAACTTTTTTTGATCACACAAAAGAGAACAGAGTACATAAATGAAAACAAAATGATCTGCTTGTATAATCACCAAAGCTTAAAATGAGGAGGCAGATTTAGAGTAATTTGGTCTATTCATGCTTCCCCAAACACCAGCCGGACTCCGCCCCAGCCTGAGTGGATAATCATGCAGACACACACACAAACATTCAGGGACAATCACAATGGAAAATAATCTTTCATTTGAAAGCTGACTAAGGAAGAGATTTCACAATATCACTGTCTGAATTTGTCTCTGGGAAAATTCAGGGCATGATGAATGTTCTTAATTGGCCAGAGGGAAAATGGTGAGAATTGAGAAAGGCTAACTTCCTGGGAACCAATGTGGTTGGGAAACCGAGAGTGTTTTTAAGAATTAGAATTTTTAAATGTCAGAGGACTCACATAAAGATTTGGAAGGAATCCAGAACTTAAATTCTCTTGACCTAAAATTAGGGAGAACCACTCTAAGTTTAATGTAAAGAAAAAAGTACATGCTATTATTTTTTACATTAACCAATAAATCTCTTAATTTTTCTTGTGACTTGATTATCCATTTACTAAATGTCTTTCAAATCTATTTTGTGAAAAGCCTGTGTGCTGTGAGCAGCATTTACTTTTAGACCAAGTTAATTTTTTTTTTTTTTTTTTTTTGGTTTTTCTCCTGTACCAGGAACCGAACTCACGACCTTGCGCTTGCCAGGCAGGCGCTTTTGCCCCTGAGCTAAATCCCCAGCCCAGCATTTACTTTTATTGAAGTAGAAACACAGAGTAGCCAGGACTAAAAAGTCTAATCTTGGGCAATGTTGATTATATTTTTATATTTTTAGGCTTCCTGGACTAAATATAAAATGTATTACTTACATGCATTAGACAGAATTATTAAAATAGGCTCAGCTTTCTTTTTCAACTATATAATCAAATTTGTAATATGGAAAGGGTAAAATCAGAAAGAGGATTTATTATGAAGAATTTTTTAACATTTATTTCCTGCCCTCCTCATTAAAAAAGAAAAACATACTTAGAGCTGAAAATATTAATTAAGTGGTTAAAAATAATTTCAGTGGCCTACAAAAGAACGTTAAATATTAGTCCACATCAATTCTTATAGTAGCAAATATAACTGTAAATATTTTTTATATATCATGAATTTGTGACCATAGAAAGTCTCAGAGTTATTGCAATAAAGTCTAACATGAAAAATAATTTATTAATAACTACTGTGTTTATAGGCCTCCTTATCTTCTTATGCATGTTATCTATTTATTTCACAACCTTATCAGGCAGACACAATTATTGTGTTCATTTTTTAGGTAATGAAAGTGAGTTACAGCAAGGTTCACTAATCTACCCAACTTCACACTGCAAAGCATGGAGTAACCAGATTTTAAACCCTACCAATCTTCCTTCACGGACCACATACTGACCACCACATATACTCCCTTCCATTACAGACTACAGTCTGTTTATAGACCTAACATATGATTAAAGCTTGCACACATACACATAATTGTTATTTTTTGAAATATTTTTCAACCTATGAATAATAAAAATAACCCTACTATCAACCAGAAATTCTAACATTCTAAGTTTAGGGATCCTCCACAGTAGTTAGCCTATTCCACAATTAACCTAAAACATGAAGTTAGTTAAGCCATGATGTTGGCTTTGTTTCTAATGTGAAAAAATAACATTTCCTGGATCCTGGACCCAAAGTCTCCATTCCTAACTTTAAAAAATAAATTCTACTCTTCGATCTCTATAAATTACAAAAAAAAAAAAAAAAAACCACAAAGGTACTGATGCAAATCTATCAAACCTTTCCTTTGTTTTCAATGGAGTAATCATATCTACTTTACTCTAATGCTTAGAAAAAAGCCAAAGAGCCAATGCAGATGTAGCCAAGGATTTACAAAACCTTATAACTTTTCATTTCTTCCAGTGAAGTCGGGGATAGGTAACTTGATTGAAGGTTTGTGTCAAACACTTTCACCAGGATATCTCTGTAATTTCCCCTGGAACGGGCAGTAAATGGAATCGCGATGCATATTGGAAATGGAATTCTCTTTTCCTTATCTGAGCATTCAACAGAGACGACATTGCTGACCAATTCTTCATTATCAGTCACAATTAGAGAACTCATGCTGTTAATTATCTGGCATTCTAGTTGCTGCAGAACGTATGATGGTGCTGTAATGTAACAAGACACTTGGGTGTCTGTCCCATCACTCAGCACATCGAGATACCTGTAGGGAAAGTGAACAGCATTTCCCCAGTTATTTAGTTATCACATTTCTGTACTTTATAATTAAATGCAGAAAGGCAAGAACTCCAGAGGACCCTGTCTTGCTGTACTTTCGCTTTCTGATCTCGTGAGCTTGGGCAAGATACTCAACTTCTCTACGCCTCAGTTTTCTCAATTGTAACATGGTGCTGAAACAATACCTGCCTCTAAGAGAGGTGAGAATTAAGTGAACCATTACATGCCAAGTAGTTAGAAAGATTTGTGCCTGGTAGATACTAGCCATCATACTAGAAGTTACCTATATTTGCTTCTTATTATTATTATTATTTAAGCAATTGCCTTTTTCTGTGGTATTGTTCACTCCACATGAAGAACTGAAAATTGCTGATGTTTTTTAATAAACCAAGTCTTAACGCTTAAATTGTGAGGAGTTAGAGGAATCATTTAGGAGGTATTGGAATTTTCTAAACACACTATACCAAATGATGATGCTGTGTTTTGTGGAAAAAAACTGAGAAAGGTACAAAATATTATGAATTTAAAATTAATGATAGTAATTAGGAAGAAATTATTTACCACCCTCAACTAATAATGCCAAAATCTTTTCCTATTTATTTTATGCATTTTAACCATCATGTTTGATGAAGATTTTTATAGCTTTAATGGATATTTGAAAATAGACACTTCTAATTTGTTTGATGGTATATTAATAATTATTTGAAAATAGCTAATGTTTCAAATCTTTGTGTGGATCTAATTTGAGGTTTATATTTCATTCAATCTTCACAACTATTGTGTCAGCCAGATAGGAAAAATGAATCTTAGAAAATGTTAAGCTCAGGGCTGAAAGTTATGATGTAGTGGCAGAATTCCTACCTAATGTACATTAGCAACTGAGTTCAGTACCCAAAATGCCAAAGAAAAAGAAAAAAAAATAGCATGCTACAAATCCCACAGATGGTAAATTTTAGAACAAGTAACTGGCTCCATCTACTGTGTGTGTGTGTGTGTGTGTGTGTGTGTGTGTGTGTGTGTGTGCATGTGTGTTTGGTTACTTGGTTGGTTTAGTTGGTTTATTTGGTTGGTTGATTGTTTATTTGGGTTAGATAGTGGGTTTTGTAGTAATGGGTCTGAAGCCTAGGACCTCTGACATGCTAGGCAGGCACTCTACCACTAAGCTACATCCTCAGAACTTTTTTAGAATTTTATTTTGAGCAGAGTCTTGCTAAATTGCCCTGGTTGGCCTTGAACTTATGATGCTCATGCCTCAGCCTTCCTAGTAGCAGGCATTATAGGAATGTACCACCTTGCCAAGTCTTCTATCCATCTGTCTTTAATGTAAAAAGCCCAACTTGTCTAAACTTATATTCCTTCAAATCACTCTAAGATACTGATTAACTCCAATACAAATTAAAATTAATATCTAATCCATACTCACATGAAGTTGGACTGAAAGAACATAGTTAGACTTACAGTAATATGTTATGTTGAGTGCCAAATAAATATTAGGTTTCTACATTAAAATTACCAACTTGAGTCTCCCTTCTTCTCATTACTTCTCATTTCATACCAAGAAAGTGGCTAAAATATGGACAGTGTTGCAGAGAAATGAGAGATCTATATTTTTCCACAGTGTTATATTTTCAGTTATAAAATAATCAAGTTTTATCTATTTACCAGTCAGAATTTTAAAGTGCACTTTAACATAAAAATGGACAACAAAAATATGGATATTGCAGAGAGGGGCCATTTATTTAAATTAACCATAAAGATAGAAAAAATAGAAAATTACCCAGCATGTTAGTTTGCTGGAGTATTCTCTAGTGACAGTAATAATGGGAATCAGAAAATGAGAAACACAGTTCAGTAGAGGATACAGTGACCCAGCTTTTGTAACTTCAGGAATGGCTCTCTTCCACGTCCTGGAAGACACTCAGAATCATCCTCTTTCTGAAGCTCTGGTTACCAGTTGACAGATAAAGTAGAATGAGGAGACCTGCACATAGTTCCATTCTCCCCAGCCCTAATCAAATACATCCAGCCTAGTCAGTGTCATAATTTACATTAGTTTATTCCAGTGTTTTTCCTTTTGTGTACAAACTAGGATGAACACACTAAAGGAGATGTAGTTATTTTGGAAAGCTAACCATGGTGGAGCCACAAGAGATTCTGAACAAGGTTTCTTTATGACACACATATTTTATATGGCACAATGGCTTTCCAGCCTGGGTGATTGCAATGAATAGTCACCTTCTTAAATATGCAAGTCAAGCACAATTGGCTTAGACGTCACAAAGAGGAAATCACTAACCAGGGAACGCCTAAAGGAGGAGTTAGAGTGGTTCAGGCAATGACTCACTAGCATGTTTTGAGTCACTTCTGAATGTGAGGATATAAAGTGTCAGTGTTTACTTCAAGTGAAATGGGGGACCACATTTTGACTACTTTAGCACTTGTTTTGCCAAGTGGAGGTCTTTCATACATTGAAAGACTCATCCCTTGAATGCATCCCATTCTCTGACCTATAAGGACATCACAATGAAGCTGGTCCAAATTCTTCATCTTATAAATAGGATCAACATGAGAAAAATGATTGACTGGAGATCATAGGCCGAATGATGTTGTCTTGCAAATAGCATTATATATCTATGTGAAAGAGCATCAGTACCTCACGGCAAAGAGTGGTACTGAATGGGAACCTGGGAAAGTGATTATTGTTGGAGGTGACACACACTAGCACACTGATGTTTAGCAGAACACGGATACCCTCACAATGGAGCAGTGCTATGCCTTATCCATGATTTTCTCAAATGACCTTACCAAATATTCTCAGGAAGAATATATTATTTCTGCAAACAAGAAAATGAGGCTAACAAATGAAGCAAATTTCCCACGGTCATCAAACCAGTATATAATTTTAAAAAGCAAAAATTGAGTTTGACTCCCCAAATGATTTCTTCTGCCCTATTCCTCATTGTCTTTTAAAGGTATTATGCTTGGCTAGGAAAATGTGGTTTGTGAATATTTCATATTATCTGAACAAATACAAGATTATTATCCCGTCATAAAGGAGAAATAATTCATGCAATATGTCAGTCTTTCTCCATTTTTTAAGTCTTAGCCTTTTGAAGAACCTGGTAAGAACTGTGAACCATTTCTAAGGAGGTAAAATAAGCATGGAGATACATATTCAGCTTTAAGAATCTTTCAAAGCTTATCTATGAGCCCCTAAAATTCTAAAGACAAAGAGTAAAAGTTCATGATGATATTTTGAGAATATAAATAGCATAAAAATTCTCAACCTTTTAGAATTCTATAATCTCAGTTTTTGCTCATGTAACTCAGAAAGTAGTGATTTGGAAGTGTCAGTCATCTAAACAATTGTTTTTTAACTACTTTCTCATCTAATCTCTCCACCTTTAAATAAACATTTAATATATGCATTTTCTAAAATGATTAGTAATAATAATCACAAATTTCAAAGGATAGTACAACTTGAGTTAATGATTCACAATATCCTTTTTGGAGATATGACATGAAAATATAAAATTTTACTCATGCATGAGTGCTATTGATTTCATTCATGTATACTATGATGGTTGAATGCTTGTGTTCTTCCAAAATTCATATGTTGATGTTCTAACACAAAAGTGATGGTATTAGAAGGCAGGGCCTTTTTGGAGGTATTAGGGCATAAATGCAGAATCCTCTTTAATAGATTAGTGGGCTTTTAAAATGCAAACAATGGAGCTTGTCAACCTCTACCACCAAGTGAGGATGCAGCAAGATGTCATTTCTAAACTAGAAAAGCCTCACTAGACACAGAATCTACCAATGCCTTTATCTTAATGTTGCTCTTCTCAGCCCAAACAACTGTGAGAAATTATTGTTTAAAAGCCACTCAGTTTTTTGTACTTTGTTATAACACACTAAATAACTAAGATACCCACAGACTACAGCAATACCCATAAAACTAGACACATATAAGTACTCCTCACTCTGTATTTACTTACTCCTTTTCCACAATGTTATTCTTTTGATTTAGACTTTCTGAATCATCGAGATTATTCACATATTCATCAGAGATATCACATGTTGTTGAGGATGTGGTCATCTCTTCTCTTTGGTTCTCTGGAGTTTCTTTAATGTCTCCTTCTGTTGTCTGGATTACGTCAGGAATTTGTTCCTTGTTGCTATTTATGTTCTCGGCAGTCATGTGTTCTATTTGTTTATTATCTCTGTTTTCTGCATTATCTGGGAACATTGTGTTCTGTGACTCTTTTTGCCCTGTTGCATCTCTGCTCAGTGATGTGTTGTTTTCATTTTCTACTAATGCAGAATTTATATGTGTTTTATTCTTTTTTAACTGGACCTGGTTTGTGTAATGACTTTTCTCTCCATTTGTGCTGGAAACAGTAGCTGTTTCTATGACATTTAGTTTCCCTCTTGCAGAAATGCCTGTTGCTTTGGGGTCTTGAATGGTGCACATTGTCTGCTGTGGAGTATGTTCATCACGCATGCTGCATAAATTACATATCTCCTTTTCTTCTTCCTTGAGAAGCATAGCAGTGTTCCCCAAATGTCCGTTCATTCTCTTGAGGCAATCTATGAAAGTAATAATTTCTACACATACACATATACACGCACAAAGGAATAAGAACAAAATTGAAAAAATTATGCAAGGACGTCACCACATAATGAGGTATGGCAAGACAATTTTAAAAACCTACAAAGACTTTTCCTAGACATTTAAGCCAACCTTCTGAAGCAAACACATTTGCACAACTGACACTTCTAAAATTTTTAGAAATTGGGAACAAACTACTTAACATAATAGCAAAGAGTAGATTTGATTTTTACTTCTCTTGAAAATGCTTTGAATTGTAAAGATAGATAAATATCATGATCCCTTCTCCCCAGTAAAAACTGAAGTCAGCAACTCTATCAGTCATTCTTTATTTGGTGCAATTTTAAGAAGTGGTCTTTTATTCCTGCAGATACTATCGTTTATCAATTGTCCATTTAAAAGCCCAGGCCTAAAGTTAGCTGAACACTCCAGAAGAGGCCTAGGTAGCAGAAGTACTTTAGCTACCTTATTTTGGCTGATGTAGATGCTATTTTTGGAGGGGCAGCGTGCTGCTATGAAGATTAGACAAGTTTGATACATTCCTCCTACCAAGCTTGTGATCGTTAGTAATTTTCAAATTGGTCTTTCAGAGAACAGCTCTGTCCCTGCAGTTACTTCTCAACGACCACAAAACCAAGCCATACTTGTGCTCTCCATTAGGATCTGATAAGATGTCATCTCTCACTGAAGCCCTATTTCATACCCTTCGCCCCTATATACATCCCTCTTTTCACAAATGAGAAGCCTCATCTGATAACCTCTTGCAGGCTTGTAATCTTTAGAATTCAATTCGAAGCTAAGGAATCTATGATTCAGGGCCCCATTGCTTAGTGTATTTAGAATCATCACCAAAGATACTTTGAATTGTCTGGGCTTGTCTTTGGAATCCACCCTTGGCAACTTGCTATTTGTCTTCTACCTAAGACTGCCTTTTTTTTTATTCCTGTTTTCTGGTAGCTGAGCCCTAAGTTGACCTGTTGCCTAGGACCATATTTGATTCTCTTCAGAGACTCAAAGTCTGATTATGAGCACCAGCTAATGGCTCCTGAGTCCTACTTGTTTGGACCCGTATCTCTGATGCCAATTCTTTGTCTTCTAGGTAGCAATATCTTACTATTATCTACCTGGGATTCCAGCTTGATGGGGCCTGCCTACCGACTTTGACACTGTATTATTTGGATTTGAATTTCATGCTGCCACTGTATTCTTATCTGGAGAAACTACTGTTCTGCAAGATTATATTCATCAGCATGTTTTTCCTGCCTTACTGTGTTTTGCAACATAAGTAGACCTAGTCACAGGATCTTGCCATCTCTTTGCTTCATGGGGGATTCAGTTATCTATCCCAGTCCACCCAGAGTTCCTAGTACTACTGTAATGTATTATAGGCTCATGTTCAAATGACTCTAGAGATGGAATGTTATTTTCCAGTATGTTAAATAATTGCATGTTCTGCCTCAGAACTGGCCTACATTTCAAACCTCTAAGCCTTGGGTCCCACTAATAATACCTCAAGACTCCCAAACTTCCAGTTATATGATTCCAATTCATTCTATAAGCCTCCCTTTAAATGTAACACTTTTTTCTAGCAAAATTCTGAATTTTTTACGCTAAATATGGGACCCTGCCTGCCTCCAAAAGAACCTCATGAGTGTGACTCTAGTGGGACTGGCCTCGGAGCTGCTTGCATTAGTGTACATGTGTCTTACCTGACACACGCTATTGGACTCTTGGTCCCATTTAAACAGAGACATGTTTGAAATCACATAGCACCTCTCCAGTACTGCCTCAATCAATATTTCTTAGAGAAAGAATAAACCAAAAGCTACTTGCCTTGTCTCCAGACACACTGATTCTCCTTGTCCAGCAGTGCACACAGCCGCTGGCAGGTGCAACTCAGGGTCCCTGCAGTGTGCTCCAGCAGCTGTTGAAGGGCACTGCTGAGCTCTTGACCCAGAAAGACCACTGTAGCTATCCAGCTGGCTCCACCGACCCCCTCACAGAGGTCCTCACCCAGGAGCGCCTGCTTTAGCATTTGGTTTTGTCTCCAAACCTGTTTCAATATTTGGCCTAGTTTACCTGAGCCCATGTCTTCTGTATCCATTGTGTGTTCCCAAAATAATGTGCTCCTTTCCTGCCAGCAAAGACTAAAGGTTTAGCAGATTCAGACTTGGCGAGGGCTATTTCTCCTAAACTCTAGGAGATGATCCAAGTCAGCTAGCCAAGCACTTTCCTGCAACATAATAGTTTATTCAGCTTTTTGTTGACCAGTGAAAAGTTACTAGGTGACCAAAGAAGGGGGCGTTCCTGGGTGCTATTGTGTACAAAGGATTAACCACAGGCATAGAGCTAGCTCACAGAATCCACCTCTCCACACAAGTTTTACAGACTCAGTATAATATTGATGCCCCAGATACTTTTCATATTTTGAGGCAACAAAATATGGATTTCAGAGAGAATAAGAAATAATGTATTCAAAGGTAAACTGTGGGGGCTGGGGATTTAGCTCAGCGGCAAAAGCGCCTGCCTGGCAAGCGCAAGGTCTTGAGTTCGGTTCCCAGTACCGGAGAAAAAAAAAAAAAAAAACAAAGGTAAACTGCATTTATAATACTGTTAATAAAGTTCCTATATACATATTTAAAAATACTTACCAATAAAATAATACAAGATTTGGTTTGCTTCAAAATAATCCTGGGAAGCAGGGCATGGTGGTGCATATCTATAAACCCAGTGCTTGAGGAGATGAAGCAGGAGGATCACCATGTGTTTGAGAGCAGTGTGGACTACATAGGGAGTTCAAGGCCAGCCCAAACTGCATAGCCAGACCCTGTCTCAGAAAAATAAAACTAAAACCCAAAATAATCCTGGGGGTAGGAGAGAGTACAGACAAAATGTATTTGGTTATAAAATTTAATAACTGTTAGCCATACACGGTGTTGCATGCTTGCAATCCCAGATACTCAGGAGGCTGAGGAGGAGAGCACAATGTTGAAACTTCCTGAGAAATTTAACAAGAATCTGTACTAAAAAATAAAAAGAATTAGAGATAGAGTTCAGAGATAAGGCTCTTACCTTGCATCTGTGAAGCCCTGGGCTCAATAACCACTGTGAAAACATATTGTTGGAGCTTGGTATGATCACAGTATGGAGTCTCCACATTTCACTGGAAGTAGTGAATATTTATAATTTTTATGAGTAAAGAATTAAAAGGAAAAAGGATTCCTCCATCGGACCAGAGAGGTATTACTATTGCTATTGGTCATTAAGTACAATTTAATTAGTAGTTTCTCATGTGGCAATTCTGCAGTGCAGTTGAGATAGAAACCTGGCCTTTTTACACACACCTTTCACCTGTGTCCAAGGAATCTGAGAGAGAAGCATAAGCGCAATGTGGGGACTGTTTGGTCCAGAATGATGTGGAGACTCATCTTCCACTAAAAATGATGCTCTCCCATGATTCACTGCAAAGGAAACTTCTTTTTAAATATGAATTCCTATCAAATCACAGATAGCATTTTAAAAAATATTTTCAGTTGGTTCCTAATATTAAAGACTTTTCTAATTTAGTTTATTTTTTTCTAACTCCTGAAACATATGTGTAATTCTCAAAAAAAAAAATGCCTTTTTACTGCGCTAGTTTCCCTTTAATTGGACAAAATGCTTCCTCACTGAAAGAAAGCAAACTTGAAGAGTGCTTTCTCTAAGCTGCCAAGAAGTCTTTGTGTCTACTTAAAATTCAGATTCAGCAAACTCACCACACAGCTGCCTGCTCAGGGGGTACACTATATCCGGTGCCATTGCCATACGTGACTGCAAGGAGCGGTACTGCAGAGCAGCCTGCTTCCCCTTCTCTAGCTCCTCTCCGCTAAGGAAGGAGGATGCCCACCAAAGAGTCAGGGCCTGACATTCCAGAGACTCATGTTCCCACAGGGATGCTGGAAGGGAAAGAAAGCCTTCCAGAGGGGCTAGAGAGCTTCCTTCCCCCAGGCAGCATATTACATCAGCTTAAGCTCTGGGGTTATTAGAGCTATGCTTATGACACCTAGAAGAGGAGACAGGAAAAACAATCACAATAAATAAAGAAAGATGAAATCATGGGCTTACAAACCATCCAAGATGCCTGTGCTGCAAGGAATCTGAAAGACAAGCATGACAGCAATGTGGGGACTGTTTGGTCCAAAATGGTGCGGAGACTCATTTTCTACTAAAAATGATGCTCTCCTATGATTCACCGCAAAGGAGATCTTTTTTTAACTATGAATCCCTATCAAATCATAGATAACATTTTAAAAAATATTTTCAGTAGCTTCTCAGTATTAAAGACTTTTCTATTTTAGTTTGTTATTTTTTGTCTAACTCCTGAAACATATGTGTAATTTTCAAAAAAAAAAAAATGTACAGATGGCTTTAATTCAACTTCAGTTTTGAAAACTTTCTCCAGCATGACTGTGGACCTTGCACTATTTAAATGCTGGGGTAGGGTCTTTTAGGAATACAGAGACAGACAAATGCATGAACACACTATTAAAATACAGGTTGGACTGTCGTTGGGAGCTAAAGTAGAAGTATGAACATAGAATGTCATGAGAGCTTTAGGAGTAAAAAATTAACTCTTGTTAGAGGCTTGGGAGATGCTAGGTTAAGACCTAAAGGGTGAGCAGCTTTGGTGCCAGCTAGAAGGGACATTCCAGCATAGAAAATAATATGATCATAGGAATAGATGCATGAAATTACACAGCAGAATCAAAAAGGGAAAGTACGGCTTTACAGAAAAGTTGCTTTCATGAGTCAGGAGAAATTTTGAGAGGAGACTTAAGTAACTGTGCAGTCACAAGGGAGACTTAGAATTTTGTTTTGCTGACAGACGGGAAAAGTAATATTTTGAATTAAGTTACAGTATGACTGAATCTGTGTGCAGGAATAATACGGCTGGGAGGTCAGACACACAAAAGTTGGGAGGCTGAAGGGCCTGATGTTGTGGCAGTGCAGGCAAGCTAACAGTGCAACTTGAGAGGACTGGAAGTAGGTGGATAGAAATTTCTACACCGTCAGATCAAAAGGGATGAATAGAAAGCATTGAAAATCCAAGCTTTCATTTATTTCAATATTTATTGGCCACTAGTAACCATACTTGGTAGTAGCACATAACTAAATTTTTAGTTTGGGTAACTGTGTATGTGGTGAACATGTAAAGGGATGTAGGAGAAACGTTAGGTTTGATGGGCAGATAATTTGCTTAATTTCAGATGTGTTGAGTTCAACACAGCTCAGGAAAATTCTTTAGAATGTGTCAGAAGTTCAGAAAAAAGCTCAAATGAACACTGGCATATTTGAACATCACCAGCAAAAAAGGTGATAAATAGATCCCTGGAAGTAAGAGTTTATAGGATTCATATATTAGATGCTGAATGAAACTGATAGCGAGCTCCTGGATCACTGCAGCAATCTATATTCATTTCCTTTTCGATATATGGGAAAATCTTTTGTCCTGGAGAAAAAGAAAGCAAAACTCCAACTCTTTTTTCTTAGTTTCAATAACACTTGCTATTCTCAAGTCTAAACTTGTTCTCTGGCTTAAGAACATGCAATATTTGCAAAATAAGACCTACAGCAGGCTATGCTGCACCTACATGTTCAAACAAGCATTTACATGTTGCTGCATCTTGTTTTCAATTGACTGACATCACTAACCACAAGAAGAACTGACATTTGCAGTTAATAAGCCCAGAGAGGTTAACTGCAAAAGTTCATGTGGATGGTTTCAACACTGAGTCTTCCTGTGGCTACTAGTTATGGTGGCAATATTGTGTGCTCCCACTGACGTTAAAGGAATTAGCACATAGTCTTGAATTCAAAAAATATTATGTGGTTAAAAAGGCAATAGTTCAGGGGCTGGGGATTCACCTCAGCGGCACAGTGCCTGCCTGGCAAGCACAACATCCTGAGTTCAATTCCTGGTACTGGGGGGAAAAAAAAGGCAACAGTTCTTAACATTAAAAATTTCTATTCAATTAGACACAAAATTCAGTTTAAGTAGGATTGTCACTTGTTTATGACCTAAAGATATAAAACTCTGCAATAGACTGGGCAATCTACTGATGCTAAAAAAGAGATGGAAATAAAGTTTTGAATTATTGGAAAATGAAGTGTTTGGTGGATAGTAATGAATAGATCAGATGTAAGCAGAAGTTATACATGTACTGTGCTTGAGGCACTATGACTAGGAATTGGAGTTATTCATTCTATTATCTGATATTGTTATCTTCTTCTGCAGACAGCAAAGATGTTGGGGCAGGCAGCGCAAAACAATTTTGCCTCATTTGAAAACTTTTAATGAATATCTTGTCTTTTGTCTTTCTAAAGCAACTTCGTACAAGTGCAAGGGTGGGATAGAAAAAAAAGAAGTTTGCTTTCCCCTTACAACTTAGTGCTCTGGAAAGATGGAAATTAAGTATAATACGTTAATTTACTTACCAATTTTAAAATTTTCTGAAAGAGCAAATGATAAAAAGAAAAGCTAGCACTTCCAGTTAAAATGTAGCTTGGATATATTGTCTTTAGCTCTGGTTTCTCTCTTCCTGAACTACCACTGAAAGGGATAAAATGGTATATAAACTCCAGAGGACAAAGAGAGTCATAAGGACGGACAGGAGACATCAACTAACTCTAGGAAGATTGAAAGCACATGGATACTTGGTAAAAAATTTGATAAACAAGGAGAGTTGAAACCTAAATTCATAATTGTGGAAAATAGGCCAGGTCTTGTTTGGGAATCTCAGAAGTCCTAGAATATCTAGCAACTTTGAGCATGAGAGTGAACTTGAGGCTGTAAACTGAAGTTCTCCTTGTGGCTCTGTTTTGAGAACAGGAGGATTTCTATTTTCATAATGGCACGGCCACTGTTTATCTCCCACTCCTCTAAATCTGTAATGTTCTCCATGAAGAAACTGCAGCAGAAAGGCAGGCAGCCTGGGATGAGCAGAGCAGGAGGGAGGTGTCAGGCTGACCCTAACAGTTAAGTGAAAATCTACAATTTTGTGTAAGGATCTATTGAGTTCTACTTAGTTCAGAGAACATGGGCTGACAAGCATAACCTCCTAGGCATAAGATTAGAGACTTCCTCTCTACAATAAACACTGAAAAAATCTAACTGTTTATGAGTCATTAGGCTCTTTTCCCTCCTCCCAACCCCTCAAAGTCTGCCCTACCCTTGCATATGATCCAACAATGCACCTCCTAGGTATAAGCCCCATCTA